AGAGTAGTAAGGGCGTGGAATGCCCTGCCTGCAAAAATAGTAGACTCGCCCACTTTAAGGGCATTTAAATGGTCATTGGATAAACATATGGATGATAATGGAATAGTTTAGGTTAGATGGGCTTCAGATTGGTTTTCACAGGTCGGCGCAACATCGAGGGCCGAAGGGCCTGTACTGCGCTGTAATGTTCTATGTTCTATGTTCTATGTACAGCAAGTGAAAAGAATTAGCATAATGTAATCTCAGATCTCAAGGCCAAGTAAGAGAGTGTCAATGCCAAAAGAATGGCAGTAGGCAGTGTTTAGGAGATAAGTAATCTTGATGTTTAATGAAAAGTCGTGCAGGTTGTGTTATGTCTCATGGTCAGTATGTGATTATACCTTTTGAGGAACATGCTCATGATATGATCATTGTATCAGAGCGTATGAACTGAAAATTATACTGGCCGCATGGCCCATCTTCTCCTGGGATCACATGAAACATGGCACATTGCTAGAAATGTGCTCTTCACTTGTAATCTAACTACATGGTGTTTAGACTTGATGTGCCTATGAATGTAATATTTACACATAAAAGCTAGTAGTGGTAACTGAGTATTGGATTTTTTCAATGCCATAATATCCGCATCTAGTTTCTTACTTTATGAAAGATAACCCAAGTCTTGCTGCATCAGGTAAAATTATCGTCTTGGACCCAAAATCACATTAGGGATGAGTTGGAGTTTAAAGTTTTGCTCAGAGTTGAACAGGATGTCAATATTGCTAACCATATCGTCAGTATGGGAACTGACAAAGGGGAAAATGGAGTCTGTGAGAAAAGGGCAGAATTTGTAATGTTGAGTCAGAGGCAGACTGCATCCTTCCCATTGTTTATCTGGGAAATTGTGACACATCCAATACTTTATATTGGACAGTAGGCTTGATAATTGACAAGTTGAGAGTGGCGAAGACAAAGAATAGAGATGGCTGTTACCACTGTACATATTTCACAATTTAGAAGCGTAGAGGAAGCTTTATTCTGTACTTAACACTGTGCTGTAACTTTCCTGGGAGGGTTTGATGGGGGTAATGTAAAGCAAGCTTTCCTGTCGGTTTAAAAGAACAGAGAATGACAGATAAGGGCCTTCTGAGGTGACAACTTCCTTGCTTTATAGTTCTAGCAAACTCTTAGTACATTTCTGTCTGAATACATTCCTGTCTGCAAGGACAATCATGTGGAGCAGAGCTATTAGAGGAATATATGATTCACTTCCATAAATATTATGAAGGTGTCAAGGAGAGACAGAGATTCCACTTGTGACTTCTACAGTGGGTGTTTTAGTCATATTGCAGTCTAAAAGCTGGAATGGGATGTGTTTCAGTACATATGGACACAGCTGGAAGGTGAGAATATATTCAAAGATCTTGGGGAGGAAAGAGAAGTTGGAACTGGAGCAATAATTGACAAAGTTGGATGATTGAAAGTGAGATTTTGAGTGAGGGTGATGGAAATTGTGGAAAGGGAAAGGGTCAGGAAAGAAAATACATGATAATTGCATCATGTATTAATATTGTTCACTTTTAAATTTGGTATTATTACTTCTGTCCTAATAAGAGCAAGATGAAAAGCTTTGATGACACATCTCTTTTTTTCATCAATACTCAGTGATATCATCAAATACCATGACTAGAAAAGGAAGTTTTGAATAGGATTGCTGAAACATGCAATTCAGCAGTAAGTAGTTCTCATGGATGACTTCAGCTTGGAGAAGACAGCAGGATAAAGAAATGAGAAACAATAAGAATTAGGTAGAAGGAGAAAAATAGGGAGATTAAGGGCTGAGAGCATGTGGAAGGAGAGGGAGATGGAGGTAGCTATCTGGGTGATCCTTAGTTTGAAGACAGTTCTTGTGCTCTTTCCGTCATTTGCCAAAACTAAACCAGCTTTCTGGATGAGGGAACAAAGTGAAATTCACACTTGCTACTGAAGTTTTATGATGGAATGAATAGGCAGATGTTCTGGATAGATGGAGTAAATCTTTGATATTCAAAGAATGAGGAGCATTGCATTTTATTTTTGCTTTCCTACTATCAGTAATGATGATGGCTGTTTAAATTAGGATATTTGCATTTACTTTATTTGGTGTTTGTGCATAGTGTTATGAGTTTGTGTATTTATGAAATAAAAACTTAGACCTGCTCTACTTGCTGCCGACATAGAAACATTGAAAATAGAAGCAGGAATAGGCCATTCAGCCCTTTGAGCCTGCTGTGCTGTTAAATATGATCGTGGCTGATCATCAAACTCAGTACCCTGTCCCACTTTCTCCCATGCACTTTGATCTCTTTAGCTCAAAGAACTATATTTAACTCCTCCTTGAAACCATTTAATGTTTTGGCCCCAACTGCTTTCTGTGGTGGAGAATTCCACAGGCTCACCACTGAGTGAAGAACTTTCTCTTCCTCTTGATCCTAAATGCTTAATTCTACGGCCTTGGACTGTGATCCCTTGATTTGGACCCCCCAATCAATGGGAACATCCTTGGTCCATTTACCCTGTCTAATCCTGTTAGATCTTTATAGATTTCCAGGGAATACCCCAGTCATTCTTTTGAACTCCAGTGAACGTGGTCCTAGCTGATCCAGCCTGTCTCCATACATCAGTCCTGCCATCCCAGGAATCAGTCTGGTAAACCTTTGTTGCTGTCCCTCTGAAATAACTCTACATAGGCTGGTATCCAGTCACCAATGCACTCTTTATTTGGCACGTGAACAGTCCTTGACTATAGTACTGCCTTGTATAGAGTCCGGCACTAGAGGGTCAGGAATGTAAGTTTTTATGTAAGCCAGGGCTCCCTGTTTGGGACAGTTAATGTGGTCCCGTCAGGGAGCTCATATTCTGTGACGTCCAGCTGGCTGACCTCATTACAATCACTACACCCTCCATACCCAGAACATTCCTCCGCAGTTAAGAAAACCAAAACTGCTCACAGTACTCAAAGTGCAGTCTCATCAAAGCCCTGTAGAATTTCAGCAAGGCAACCTTGTTCGGTACTCGCATTCTCTCCCTGTGAAGCCGACATACCATTAGCCTTTTTTATTGCTTGCTGCACTTGCATGCTTACTTTCAGCGACTAGTGTACAAGGACACCCCAGGTGTCATTGCACCTCCCCCTTTTCCCAATGTATTGCCAGTTAACAGTCTATCTGTTTTTGCTATCACATTGGATAACCTTGTATTTTATCTGCATTATACTTCATTTCACACGCATTTGCTCACTTGCTTAACTTGTCCAAATCACACTGAAGCATCTCTGCATCCTCCTGACAGCTCACCCAGTTTTGTGAGGCACTTGGAAAAAGTGTGGTGTGAACTGTGAAAATCATTTTGTTGCTGCCAGCGGCATCTTTTGACATTCAGCTGTGGGACGTAACAGCATGCTGGCAACAAGTCACTTTCCTGACCTATGAGCAACAGATACCAGGACCTGGACACTGAAGACAGGAAATAATTTCGCAGAAGGAAGTAGCATTTTAAAAATTATCACTCATATTTTTATTACTTGTTCACTTGTTCTTTTTCTCCTCCTGGAAAATGCCAATAACTCAGCTGATTAATTTTAGAACCCAAGTTCAAATACTGATTTTCTTTTTTTCTTCGTTCGCAGCTAAACGGAACACTTTGCTAACATCGCTGTCTGCTAAGTCCAGTCCCAAGCGCTGTCCTAAAGAGAACCTGTCTCCTGGGTTTAATCATCTCCTTGGCAAAGAAGAAAACATGGTGACAAGGTAATGCTCTCCATTGTTGAATTTAAACTTAAGCATAACAGGTCAATTTCCATGAGTTCTTAATCATATAACAAGATATCAGGGCTTTTCTGTGCAACATGAACACTACAGGATGTGTGCAGAGCTGGAGATGCAGTTCAAAGGCATTTGTTTGAACATGCCTTCGTCCAGAGATTAAACCCTTTTTAATGTTCTACCCATTAACAAAACATTACAAGATATAATTAACGCTGACTAATATTAATGTTTAAAGTACATTTTAAAATGTTTAACAAGTTAGAATGCCATAGAGCATTTATTCTAATTGTCATCAGCATAGAGACATTAACAGCACGGAAGGAACTGTTTGGACAATTGAGATTCAATTGATTTCCCAGCAGTTATAACAAGGTATTTCTGTTTCACTGTGTCTATTTTTAAAATGATATTGCCATTGGTTAATTTTACTGAAAATATTTTCACATTTGCTTTTCTGTATAGCATATTTGAATTTTTCATTTGTAAACCTAGTGTTTGATTAATGACTTCACTTAAGTGACAATGCTCCATCTTGAACTTGCAGTTGTGCTTTTATATGGCAAATATTGTATACAACACTTGGTTGCAAGCAGTAAAATATTACCTACACTGTGCAATTGTTACAGTTGTTAATGCATGTTTTGTCATTTAGCACTCGCCCTAAATTACCAGTAAGCCTTATGCAGTTAAACATACAGACAAAAACACAAGTGTCAGAAAGGAAATAAAAGCAGAAATTGCTGGAGAACCTCAGCAGGTTGGGCGCCATCCAAGGAGAGGGAAACAAAGTTAACGTTTGAGGTCTAGTGAGCCTTCTTCAGTTCTGCTTTCCGACTCTGCTTTCTTTCTATAGATGTCGCTAGACCTACTGAGGGTCTCCAGCAATTTCTATTTTTGTTTCAGAGTTCCAGCATCTGCAGTTCTTTGATTTTGTCAGATAGCAAGGTCAGGTTGGCTCCTATTGGAATATGCTTGAGCAACTGAGAGATAAATAGTCCACTAATTTGTAGACAGTGTTCAACATTGCTTCATGCCAAAGCAGTAATGGATTTGTTGTTGATACCTAAGAATATGACTGCCACATGAATATGATTTTGGCAGAGAAACTCCAAATATAACATTAGACATTTTCATAACCTAGCTTAACATTCAGCGTTAACAATTTGGTTAGTGTTTTATCAGGAAATTGATTTGGGCCTGGTTAAACAACACCTGGATTACCATAATAATGGTATTGAATTGGCTTGAGGTGTTCTAATTTCTGTGTATCTAGCCTGCTGAGTTTGGAACAAAATTAGCACTCTGCAGAGGGTTTTTAGTTGTTCAGAGAATCGTTGTTTTCAGAATGCATCATTTTATTCTTAGGTTTGACGTAAACTTGGATGGAATGGAGCTTCCAAATTCAGACCCATCTCACAGTTCAAGCCCAAGAAAGAGACTTCAGTTCCTACCACTTGAAAATACAAAAGGTAACCACACAGAACATAAAATTATTTGAAATATTTTGCAGAATTGCAAAATTAAGAAAATAGATTTATTTTAACTACTCATTTTTAAAAAAGTGTGAAACTTTTTTTGCAGCAGTATAAAATTCAACGAATTGTGTTCATGCTAAGTTTCAAGTTGAAACATTTTTTCAGATTCTGTATTAAATGCGGTGAAGCTGGGGTCTGTTACTAGTCGTCCAGGTTGGGAAGACAAGATGACCACTTTTCTCCAGAAAGAGAAGAAAATTCCAATGCTACAAACTCCCTATGAGACAGAACTGACATACAAAGCAAGAATGGAGGCACTAGGAGAGACTGAGAAACTCTTTGATGCACTTACGCAAGAAAAGCAGCAGGTAATAAAAGCAAATTACAATTCATGCCCATTAATTTGGAGTGATTTTGGTTAAGTTAAATTATTTGTTTATTAGCAATATGGAATTTTGTGAAACTCTTCAATTGACAATGTATCAATTAATATACAATTTTTTTTTTGCATTGTTTGTTACCTTTAGTAGATTCTATAAGTGATCTCATTTACAGTCGGCCAAAATAATCACTGTGTCCAGCAAAGTACGCAGCATATAAACTTCAGGGGCAGATGTGATGTAGTGATGATCAGAATGATATGGTAAACTTGAAGTTCAGTCTCACCCTCTGGGGCACAATAGCCAAAGCAGCTGATGTAATTTAAATTACATTAAGAAATCTAGTACCGTAAGTAATGACCGTGACAATTTTCATTGCTGCAAAGCCCATTTAATGCCCTTCAGGAAAAGGAATCTGCCAACCTTATCTGGCCTACCTGTAATTCCTGACCCAGAGCAATGTGGTTGACTCTTAACTGCCCATTCTAAATGACTGTCCTATGAAGTGGCCAACAGACCTCTCAGTCCAAAGGTATTTGGGGATGGGAATCAAATCATAGAAAGTTTATTGCATTGATAAAGACCACTCTGCTCATCGTATCCATGCCAACTGAAAAATGAGCCACAAAAATTAATCCCAATGTCCTGCATTTGATCCATAGCCATGCAGGTCATGGGACTTGAGGTACTTTTGTAGGTGACCGTGAAACCACTTCTGATCGATAGGGGGAAAACTCATCTGGATTTGCATCAGGAGATCTGCCATCCTTGCCTGGTCTGGCCGGCGTGTGACTCCAGACCCACAGCCAGTGTGGTTGGCTCTGGGCTGCCCTCTGGGCAATTGGGGAAGGACGATAAAGGCCAGAGACATCCTCATCCTGTGAATGAGTAAATAAAGTGTCTTCCAGGAGCTTTATAAAACACTAGTTGTCTTTTCCCTAGCATGGGGGATTTCAAGACTAGGGGGCACAGTTTTAAGGTGAGAGGTGAGAGATTTTAAAAAAGAGAGGCAAATGTTTTAGACAGAAGGTGGTTTGTGTGTGGAATGAACTTCCTGAGGAAGTGGTGGATGTGGGTACAGTTACAATGTTTAAAAGACATTTGAATAGGTACACGAATAGGAAAGGTTTGGAGGGATATGGGCCAAGCGCGGTCAGGTGGGACTAGTTTAGTTTGGGATTGTAGTCGGCACAAACTGGTTGGACCGAAGGGTCTGTTTCTGTGCTGTATGACTCTATGCCTTTCAGATGAGTCTCAGGTTTCTGGCTCTACTACCCTTTCAGGGAACGAATTCTAAATTCTTAACGCACCAGGGGTGAAAAATTCTGCCCTCATCTCCCCTCTAATCTTTAATCTACATTATCATTTTAAGTCTGTGCTTTTAGTCTCTTATCTCTTTGCTAAGGTAAGTAGACTCTTTCTCATCCATTGTATCCTGGCCCCTAACATATTTTTGTACATATCAATCAAATCTTCCCTAAGCCTTGTCTGTTGCAAAGAGAACAGCCCCAGCCTATCCAATTTTTCCTTATTGCTGGATTTTTTCAGTCCTGGCAACATTGTTCATTAATCTCCTACTTAATGAGGTGGACCTATGTGCACAGTGCTCCAGTAAAGATTCCTGCAGTTTCAAAGCTGGCCCACACAGTGCTGCCTACATCCTCTGAATACACGCATTGGACGGATAATGGTTTCCTGTTCTTCAGGTATTGCCAGCCTGTACTGATCAGTTTTTATAGTTGATTGATCTTTTGCTTTTATTGAACTCAAGGAATGCTTTAATGTTTGGACTGTAAAACCAAATTAACCTGATCAACTCTCTTGCCGTTGAATTAAATCATATATCCTAATATGAATCATGGAGCATGTACTTGCATTGTTTGAGATTCTGTTGTTTTTTCATATGAATAGTCTTAAAATGGGTTTTGAGTCGAGCCTTGTCTGATATGGTTAACTATTTCAAGCAGTCCCTTGATGAGATTTGAACCCAGTAGCAACCAAGAGAATTCAAAAGAGTTTGAAACAATAATTTAAGGTTGACGATATTTTTAATCTGTACAAGTCTTTGAAGAGAGACTCTTTTAAAAGTCACCACACAACACCATAATAGTTGGAAATGACTAGTCAAAAGTGTGTGATAGGACAAATAGTAACTAGTAGAAATGCTGGTAGACAAGATAACTAAGTCAATCCTGTAAGAAGACTTTTTTAAACTTTGCAAATTTCGGTATGCAAACAAATGTTAATTTTTTATACTGAACTTTTTAAAAAATCTTTGTTCTTATTCTATATAGAGTCATAAAGATGTATAGCATGGAAACAGACCCTTCAGTCAACTTGACCATGTCGATCAAATGGCTTAAATTAATCTAGTCCCATTTGCCAGCATTTGGCCTGTATCCCTCTAAACCCTTCTATTCATATACCCATCCAGATGCCTTTTAAATGTTGTAATTATGCCAGCTTCTACCACTTCCTCTGGCAGTTCATTCCATATGTATCATATACCCTCTAGTTTTGGACTCCCCTACCCTTGTGAAAAGACCTTGGCTATTCACCCTATCTATGCCCCTCATGATTTTATAAACTTCTATAAGGTCACCTCTGTCTCCAATGCTCCAGGGAAAATAGCCCCAGCCTATTCAGCCTCTCCCTATAGCTGAAACCCTCCAACCCTGGCAACATCCTTGTAAATCTTGTCTGAACCCTTTCAAGTTTCACAACATCCTTCCTATATCAGGGAGACCAGAACTGAACGCAGTATTCGAAAAGTGGCCTAACCAATGTGTTTATTGACCAGAATAAAGCAAATTTATGAGCTGAGTAAGATGAGGTCTGAATTAGTGTTAACCTATTTTATCTTTGGAAATTAAAGAAATGAACTATTCAGTTTCCAAGAGTTTTATTGTTCTGTTTCTCAGTTTTCCTTTCAAAACTAGCTGCAAGTTAGGAAAAAAGTCCATATGAATGAAAATTAAAAAATGGATCATTTGTAGGGGAATAATGTAAATTATTTAATCATGGAAAGATGAGGGAACGAGCGCTACTTAAGCAAAGACTGACAGGTCAAGGAGGCGGGGATGAGAGGGAGGGTTGGTCGTGGGATGAGGCTGGGTGTGGGGAGATTTTGAAACTAGTAAAGTTTCTCCACAGCCAAGGATATATTTCCCTCCCCACCCCTATCTGCCTTCTGTAGGGACCACTCTCTCCACGACTCCCTCGTCTGCTCCACACTCCCCACTAGCCCCACCACCCCCGGCACCTTTCCCTGCAACTGCAGGAAGTGCTACGCCAGCCCCTACACCTCCCCCCTCATCTCCATCCAAGGACCCAAAACGACCTTCCACATCAGACAGATGTTCACCTGCACATCCGCTAATGTGGTCTACTGCATCCATTGCTCCCGATGTGGCCACCTCTACGTCGGTGAGACCAAGCGGAGGTTCGGAGACCGCTTTGTAGAGCACCTGCGCTCTGTTTGCGACAAACGACAACACCTTCCAGTCGCGAACCACTTCAACTCCCCCTCCCACTCCCTGGATGACATGTCCAACCTGGGCTGCCTCCAGTGTCACAACGATGCTACCTGGAAACTGGAGAAGCAGCACGTCCTATTCCGCCTTGGGAGTCTACAACCCAGTGGTCTCAATGTGGACTTCAGTAGTTTCAAAATCTCCACACCTCGGCCTCATCCCATGACCAACCCTCCTCTCATTCTTGCCTCCTTGACCTGCTTGTCTTCTCTCCCACCTATCCGCTTCTCCCACCTCACTGACCAATCCCCACCACTGCCTACCTGCACACACCTATCACCATCCCACCTACCTACCCCAGCCCCAACCCCCTCTCTATTTAAGAGCTCCCTTCCCCCTCCCCCATTTCTGAAGAAGGATCCTGACCCAAAACATCAGCTTTCCTGCTCCTCTGATGCTGCCTGGCCTGCCGTGTTCCTCCAGCTCCACACTGTGTTTTCTCTGACTCCAGCATCGACAGTTCTTACTATCTCCCTGCTTAAGCAAATATGTGAAATTAATCAAGACCAGAGAATAACAGTGATGAAATTTTAACTACCCTGAAATAAACTGGCAAGGAGAGGCAGTGATACGGTTAAGGGAATTACTTTTAAAATGTATGAAGTACACCTAAACCCCTGCAAGACTGCCACATACAAAATAACATGAAAAAAATAGAAAATATGCTGATGTTATTCAATTTTGCAAATGATGAAGATGGTATCAATTATGCAACAGAATGTAGGCTAGCAGAATTGGCAGGCAAATAGTAGATAAAATTTAGTAGTGAGGTGAATTTGGTGGAAGAAATTGGAAGAGGCAATGTAGACTTATTGGTACAAAGAGTGTTCAAAAACAGACCTCTGAGGGTTTATGTGTGCATATCTTTGAAGATGGTAGGATATACTGAGAGAGTACTCAGCAAAGTATCAATCCTGTCGTCTATAAACATTGGCTTTGAATACAAAAGCAGGGAAGTTGACTGAATATGTAGAAATGTCTGAGCATTACTGGAGTATTGCTTTCAGTCTGGTCACCACAAGCTGTGACAGACTGCAAGGGTACAGAGGACATTTACCAGAATGATTTCAGGAATGAGGGATTTTAGCTACAACCTAAGATTTGAATTGCTGGGGTTGTTCTCCTTGGAGCAAAAGAGGTTCTTGACAGTCTAATAGCAGTGTACTAAATTAGGATGGAAACGAATAAAAATGGTTCCTGTTAGTTGTTGTTACAAAGACCAAGGGTCACAGGTTTAGGTTTTGGCAAAAGATGTAGGGGGAAGTGTGAAGGTGAATATTTTATGCATCAAAATGACTTGGAATTGTGCATTTTCGGGGTGATAGAAATGGTGATGAAAAATTCCTTTAAAGGAAATATACAGCATTGATCGAAATAGGGATAGTGAGGTATATGTGACTGAGTGTATTGCTATGCAGTAAGCAAACATGGACTCAGTGGAGCTGAATGACCACC